TCTGACATGGAAATGAACGACGGCCTTCTTAGAGCCCGGAGTGCAAATGAGTTGAACCTCTGGCGCATTGAACGTCGCGCTGAAAAGGACACGGCCTTTGAATGTGAACGCATACTCGGCGAGAGCATGTACACTCGACAGGCGATTCCTAGCGACGCTGATCTGCTGCGATGCGCTCGTCCAAAGGATAGAAAGCTGGTTGTTGATAGAGCCTTGAGTGACGGAGGTGGCAAAGTCGTACGGAAGGGCATCAGAGTACGTGACCATTTTCTCGATGGCAGGGCCCCAATAGACGTGGCCATTCGCGTCACTGTGTGTGCAGCCGCTAGGGCACCAACAGCCGATGTCGGTGACTTGCTCAACTTCGGGAGTAGGGGGCACGAAGACAAAATCGGAGTCGAATATAAAGGAGTGATGGACGGCCTCGAAGATCGCCAGGTACTTCGTGGACAAGTAATTGATGAGAGCGTCGCGGAGTCGATCGTAAAGGACATGATTTCCGGCGAACACAGAAAGTTGCTCAGAGAAGTGTGCGGCTGACAGGAGGTATCAGGATCGAACGTTATGAGACGATTTGACTCTCTACTTACTTGAGATCTCAACCCGAAGCTTCTTGCCATAGACCGCGTGCTGAAGATCGGTCTGTACAATGAATGTGATTTTCCAACCAGGGAACTCTGGTACGCTACAGATACATTAGGTTATATATTCAGCAGTAGCAAAGGATATTGTGACTCACTTGAGACCCGCGGTCTTGAAGACGACCTCCCTTATATTGAACGACAAGGCAACCTCGTGCCGGCACAGAGGCCGCACTTCGGGGGCGTTGAACAGGGCGTGGAATTCGACTTCGCCAGTCTGGTCTTTCCATGTGCCGCGATGCTCGAACAGGTAGACAGCCTCGTCTACAGAAACGGCAGAAGCAGTCGAGTCGGCGATGCTGAGAGCCTGCGACCACAAGCTGCTCAGATAATGATTCATCTGGGAAGCAGTGATGCCTTCGATGTCGACAGGGGCTGCGTTGGAATCGGCGGAGTAGTCGATTATTATCTCGCGAGATAGGTCGTCGAAGTCAGGCAGAGTGTAGAAGACATGGTTTCCGGTCCTCTTCAACAGGTCGAGGTACCTGCGGAGATAGTACTTCAGAGCGACGTTGTCCTGATCTTTGGAAGACGGCGAAGAATATTTAGAGATCGCAGTTGAAGGTTTGAACAGGTCATCGCAGAACGATGCAGCTAAACGTGATACAGTTGTGTTAGCTTCATAATTTGAACGAGGGACATTGGACGTACATTCGATGTCCAGCACGATGAAGTCCAAATCGTATGCGTTGGCATTGCCGATCTCGGGGCATGCAACACCACTGACGCCACGGTTCAAGAAGTTGATGCGGAAGGCGACCTGGCAACCGGCGAGGAGGATCTTGGTCTCCCTAATGCAATTTTATGATCAGAAGGACACGTATTGAGACAGAGCAAACTACTCACGTCTTGGAGCGCGGCGTGGTCTTGTTGGTGTCGAGGTGATAGTGGCCGCCGGAGAACTGGAGGTACAGGATGACTTCATGGTTGCAGGCGAACTCGATACGAGGGCACTCGAAAGAACCGTAGAAAGAAAGGTTATCGAAGTCGGGATTCGATCGGTTCTGCGTGCCAAGGTAGAACCGACCGAGCGCGAAGCCATACTCCAGCTCGGGCGAAGCAGGCTTCTCCTCTTTGACGGCGTGCTTGCGGATACAGTGCTGGGAGTTCTCCCAGAGAGTGCGCAGCTGACCGTTGACATACATGGAAGAGACTTCGGCGCGATTGCCAAGACACATGGTGTTGGAAGTGACTGTGAATGTAAATGTAGAAGGGTGTGGACCAAGGTCAGAGGACGATGGGGGTGGGGAAATTCCGTGCAGTCAGACACACTTATAAGTGTTCCAGGAGGCTACCATCTATGAGGAAGTCAGGCAGCGGCATAGCGGGTTTAGCATACCCGACGAAGACCCCATTTCTTCGGAATTCTTACGGCGACATATCATTGCGGTCGACGTTCGCATCTATCATGGGAGCTGACTTGTATGGGACCAGCTTGGACGGCGTACTCAGTAGCAGGAGGGAGACCCGGTGGTGAATGGGTCGCGAGTGACCCAATGCGGAATGCGACAGGTCTTGGGAAGGCGGAAACGATTTCCGAAGTATTCCGGATTTGACACAAAGCCGTCGTGCAGTAATGAAAGGCACCAGAGTAGGAAACACTATTCAATTAAGAATATCCTCGGCTTTAAAGCGCATCAGGGCGACGAACTTCGGGCCGAGACCTGTGTAAGAGCGTTAGCAACAATCATGGGCTAAATAGAAACAACGGTATTGCCGAAGTATCAATATGGCGACTTGTGTCGACCCATCATTGGTGACATCGGTATTGTGAAAGGCATTCTCAAAAAGTTCCGGGTCCTGAACAAACACAAGGTAGAATATAATCCGCAGGAACCTGAGAGTGAACGTTTGAACAGCAGCCGAGATTTCGACGTGCTTCTATTCATACCTCGACGTCGAACGTTCATCGCAGCAGATTGACCCGCATCTATAAAAACACACATCACAACTCACCGCAATCTCGTCGTGGACCACAACTCGCAAGGGTAGAGGCGTTGAAATTGTTGAAAAGCCCCTCCACATTCTTTGCAAAATAATCCAGTTGCTTATTTCCGAGTTGCATGTGGAGAAAACGCGATGAGGAATCTACACACATAGGAACACGGACCATTGAGAATCTACAACCGAGGAGATCATGCATTCATTGACAGTTCCGAGGTGACAGACTCACCAGCAAATGGGAAGAGACCTTCCACCTCAATCCACACGTCGATTCATTCGACCCTCATGAGACCACATTCTGGCACATGCGTACTACCACTCCCAAGATTGACTGCGATCTCACCTGGCGTAAAGTTCCTATGTCGTTGGCCGTGAGTCAAGAGGATGTAGAGCAGAACGATCAGAAGTTCTATCGTGTCGGTCCAAAGAGGTTGGATCCATATCATGACCGTTTCTCTCAACTCTGAAGTCCTCCTAGCACGATGGCCACCGCAGAATTCGGACCCTAACCTGAGCCGGGTCGCATGGACCAATCAGACGAGTCTCCTAGTGCGCCCTCCACAAGCACTCCTGCGCAGCGGAACACGTATACTGATAATTATGAGTAGACTGGCGTGTCAAGAGACAGAAGAGACACGTCAATGTAGAAGAGTGTTTATTGTCAGCTGGCCGGAAAGTGGGCCGGAAAAGGCAACACGAGGCTTAGAGTAAGTAAGCCGGTTACGTCCTCGTGCGCGCCTGCAGCGAGTCTCCTCTCGTCTTCTGCTGCATCTTTCCTCCCATCGACAACGCCCACAACGTGTATCCAAGTATCCATCGCATCGCATCGCATCGTCGAGATCCTGACCGATACTGCCTCATTCTTGCTTATATTCTCGCCAACCAAGGCGCGCCTATCTCACTTAGCTTCTCTTCCTCCCTCTTCACTACATTCACCTTGCTGTTGGCTGTAATTGTCTACGACCGCTACATCTGCGTTGACCTCCTGTGCTCGAAGCTCAACAAGCCGACGCACTACCATATTTGACGCAGATGTTGTTGTATCTCACTTCCCGCATCATCAGGTTTGTCTGAGCTCACAAGGACCGCACCGTGTTCACCAGGACTTACTCTGAACCAGTTCCATCACTGCATTCATTTACCCTGGTTACGCATCCTTCAAGACACTCTCACAGCGCCCAGCCTCTGAGGAAGACCTTGAGCGATGGCTTATGTACTGGTCTGTGCTCGGCTGCATAGTCGGCGTCGAGTATGTTGCTGAATGGACCGTCTCGTGGTACGCCCTTTTCTCCACGCCCTTTTCTCCACGCCACGTCGCCCTCACGCTGACGAGTGCTACAGGATCCCCTTTTACCACACCTTAAAAACGCTCTTCCTCCTGTACCTCGCCCTGCCGCAGACGGCCGGATCAACCTACATTTATCGCGTCCATCTGGCCCCCTTCCTCTCGGCGCACGAGGCGAACATCGACGCGGCCATGGCCTCGCTCCGTTCCCGTGCATACGCCTTCCTGCAGGAGAAAGCACGCACGCTGTGGGAGGCCGTCGCTGCGGGCATGCAGAACCAGCCCCCTGTCTCAGGCGCAGGCACAGAGGCAGGCGGAGCGAGTGCCCCACCACCCAGCCTCCAGGATCCTGTGAGCGGGCCCGCGCAGATGCTCGGCAGTCTCTGGAGCACGTACGGCCCTGCAATCGTTGCGTCTGGCGCGGCGCTCCTGCGCCAGGCCCCGGCCCCGGCTGCCTCGTCTGCAGCTGCTCGTGCGGACGAACAGGCATTCCACTCCCCGCCTTCCGGCCCCTCACGTGTTGTCTCGTCGTCGTCGCAGTCCGCGGTGGAACGCCGCAGGCAGCTCGAGGCTGAATTGGCTGCGCTGTCGACGGGGGAGGTCGAGGGATATGACGTCGGTTCTCCGGCGCTGTCGACTGGACGTGCACGCACCTCAAGCTCGGAGTCGGATTTACGGGAGCGCAGCGGGAGGGGATTTGAGGAGGTCGAAGTGCCGAGCGACGCCGAGGGGAGCCAGGGTCAACCGTCTGCCGGTGGTGCCAGACGCTCGAGCGGATGGTTTGGATGGGGTGGGGCGCAGAAGGACGGATATGAGAGGGTGAAGAACGATTAAAGGTGGATGGACATGAGTTGTCTGTGGATCATTGCTGTATCATAACACTGGTTTGGTCATTTGTTTAACTTCCCGGTTCGCCTCGCTGTCGAGCATTGCATTATAATCTATTTTGTCTTTTCTACGTCGTTACAGCGGTACGGTAGATTGACGGGCTAGAAACAAACGTCTTGGTCGCCTGGACTGCGCGAATTTGTACATGTCTCGAAGCGTGGCACGCCGAATTCACTTTCCAGAAAGTCTGCTGCTGAGGGTATGATAGCAAAAGTTAAAAGTTAAGCCGACAGGTAACCTGCTACCGACGGGGGGAGTCGAACCCCCAACCCCCACCTTAGGAAAGTGATGCGCTAACCATTGCGCCACGACGGCTTGTCAACACCTTGACAAGAAGTCTATCGGTCACGTTCTCTTTACCCCCTATATGTACGGCTCCTCGCAAATTCTCGGTCAAAGATACGAAAAATATCCCCATACGATAATTTGAACATAACGATCACTGCTAGACTTCTTATAGTACACGGGAGCTTTCATTTTTCGAAGCGAATCAATTCGGCAGCCACGATCTTCACGTCTACCTGCTGCACCAACTCTCCGATGACTGCCTTCAGCTCCGGTGGGCTATTATCCCTTAGCTGGGTGTGGCTCTGTCACCACAAGTCAGCGCTCCGATACTCCTGATGATGAAGCAATAAAGGCCTCCTACTTCATACGAAGGCCAGCCGATCAGAAGCACAATCTCACTCGGGTTCTCTACCGTGCTGCCCCAGACCTTCGCCGTAGCAGGCGTCGGCACAGCACACAGCGCATCGATGTGCGGGGCCGCCTGCGCCTCCGTGTTGCCCGCCTTGAGCACCAGCATACCAATCTCGGTGACGCGCGCACTAAGCGCGTCGACGAGGCTCTGGCCACTGACCTTGACGTGCGTCACCTTGGTCGGGATGATCTGCGCATCCTTGAACGCCGCCTGCTGCTCGACGAACTCGGGCGACCTAGTGAAGGCGACGTGGTCTTCTATGCTTCCCCATTCTACAGTGTGGGAGGATGAGTGATGTCATCCAGGTCAAGAGTTTAGCTCAGACGCACGGGCGAAAGCGTAGCCTGTGGATTTATCGTCGTGGTCCACACCGTGGTATAAGCTGCGCGGCAGAAGCAGCGTGAGTAATGCATGATTCTCCATAGACGGTGAGCATGACCTGATGAAGCCATGGAACATGTGCATAATTTCCCCAATGGGCGCGAATGTAGCAACAGGGTCTTTGATATACGCCTCGGTGGTCGAAAAGGTAACGAATTCGGTGACAAGGCGTGGCATTGTGTATCTGCGCAAGGCAATCAGTGAGTACAAGCGTTCGTATCTATACTATAGCCAATTGCTTACCTTTCGTAGTTGGTTGGAATTGCTGGATGAGCGACGGCGTGACCAGACTGCCAGCAGGAGGGTATTTATACCATCTTCTCTCCCAGAAGTACAGTGAAGATAGAACCAATCTGCGTCGTAAGCAATGTCATCTGTCAGCACCGAAGGTGTGTTCGCGAAATACTTGGAAGTGATATACTTGTAGCGACCCCTCTGCGGTCCGCAGTGACTAATTGGTTTGAAGGCAAAAATTTCAAATGCACTTAGCGTAGCGCAGCTCACGATGAGCAAGCCAGCTTCTGATCAGCATCGAGAACTCTTGAAATCGGCTGCATGAAGTGCGCCCTCGTGCCAGCCACCGGCCTTTAAACATGCACCCATAAGTCTTATATGCGCACGAGCCGGTGCTTTCTTAGAACTCCAAGGTATTCTCGGTGCTTGCCGTTGACGTTGCTAGAACAAATCATAGAGCTATCGATTGGGAGGCCAAAGCCTGCTGATAAGCATATATACAAAATCGCAATAGTCATCGGGGGTTGTCATGCAGTGCTCCGCGCGTAGCTACTCAAACGAATAAGAGCAACGACAGAACACGATCATAAAATATATACTGTACATACACGACGTTTCTATTTCCCTATTTCTCTAGACTTGATTTAACAATGATGCTTTAGTTCCCGAAGTGAGCCAGCTGGACGTTGGCAACCTTGATATCGAGACGCTGCACCAGCTCCCCGATGACCTGCAAGACCTCCGGGGGGCCGTTGTCCCTCGTCTGCAAGTGAATCTGCCAAAATCCACGGGGTCAGCATCCCTTCCTGCACCACCAGATACAAGCGCGCCCGTACCTCATGGGAAGGCCACCCGACGAACAGCACAAGCTCCTTCGGGTCCTCGACGGTCCAGTTCCAGACCCTGCCCTTCGCCGGCGACGGCACGGCGCACAGCGCATCGATAGGCTTGGTCACCTGATCCTGCGTGTGCCCCGCCTTGAGCACCATCGTGCTGAACTCGGTGAAGGGCGCGGTGAGCGCGTCGAGGAGGCTCGCGCCGACGTTGACGTGGATCACCCTGGTCACGCCGGGCGTGATCGCCTTGAAGGCGGCCTGCAGCTCGGGGAAGCCGGGCGAGTTGGTGAAGGCGGTGTGGTCCTCGATCTTGGCCCATTCTGCGCACGTGGGGGAGTGAGAATGCAACATGATGAAGGAGGCGGAAGGGGGGACGCACGGATGAAAGCAAACGCGGCGGACTTGTCCTCAAAGTCGACGCCGTGGTACACGCTGCGCGATTGGTCGTTAGTATGGCGCACGTTCTGAATTCGGGACTAGCGATGAGTGTCACCTGATGAAACCAGGGGCCTTGGCAAAGACATCGCTGAGGGGGGCGAAGGTGCCGACGGGGTCTTTGGCGTACGCCTCGGTAGGCGGGAAAGTGACAATCTCGGTGACGGGGCCAGACATGGTGTATCTTTCGAAGTGCTGCGCAAAGGTGTTAGGAATGAAGGTAGGATTCTAGGGCGGGAGTCTTACTTGGAGTGCTGGAGTACTTGTGTGTTTGAGTGCTTGAGAGCAGGGGATGAGGATGGCACAGTCAGGCTGCTAGACCGGTATTTATACGCCCTAGGGTCTGTCAATATGGCGAGCTGATCCGACTCGTGACTAGCACTGATTAGTTACGAAGAGAACGCTAGAGCCTTCGACGGAGGATAACGTGAACAAGATGCACAGCGACCCTTCATCGCACAAGGACCGTGCAGTGACAGATCATAGCGGATAGCAACTACGCTCGATGACGAACCTCAGCTGCGCACCGGCGCGGCTTTGGCATTGTAATCCCGAATGACCTGGCCCCCCGCGGGAGGTCCGAGTGACTTTCAGCTCGGGATGGTTGAGGTTGCCGCACACACCGCCTTGAGCGCACGCCCATAACACTTCAGCTGGTCCGGGTCCGGGTTCTTAGTTTTGATGGACAGGGCCGGAAGTGGTTGTTCAGCCTAAGGCCCACCATGACAAATTGCGCCGATCCGATAGTCAGTGCGTGATAGAGGCATTTCGAATGCTACAGCAATATGCGACTCACCCGCAAACGACCAAGTCAAATGAAGCACCATCATGATTACCGCAGCCTGTCAGTCCGAAAGCACCACAGAAGAACCGTGTACCGCTCGACCCTCGCGTGCCCATCCGACAGTCCATCACACGACACCGAGCGTTGGCAGACATATACATGCATTGGTACAGCACTTCCTACCGCGGGGCAACAGCGCTACGCCGCCCTCCGAACATCTTACACAATTGTCCGAACTCATGCGCCCCATCTTAGTACTTGCCAAACTTCACATGCACCATCTTGATCTCCAGCACCGCCAGCAGCTTCTCCACAAACGCCGCGGCCTCCGGCGAGCTGCCCTTCATCGCCTCCTGGTGCACCTGCACGACGCCATAACAGTCTCAGCCAACACCGTCTTCAGACAGACAACTAAACGACACCAGCGCACCTCGATCGACGACCACCCCGCCGCGACGACCGCCTCGCGCTCGTCCTCGACCGTGTACCCCCACACAGTCCCCGAAACACCCGGTACCCTGAACCCGGCGACCTGCTCGAGGAGCACGGTCGCGTCCGCGACGGCGACGCCGGGCTTGACGGTGAAGCGCGCGACCTCGGTCGCGCCCGCGCCGAGCGACGCGGGCGTGTCGCCCGTCGCCTTGAAGTGCACCATCTTCATCTCGCCGCCGATGGCCTTCTTGAAGTGCTCGAGCAGCTCGGGGTAGCGCGAGCTGTTGATGAGCGCCTGGTGCGCCTCGTAGGACGTCCAGGCTGTGTGTGTGTGGCGATCGTGTCAGTATCGATGTGATCTAGGAGAGAAAAGAAGGGAAGGACGCACGGACGAAGAGGACGCCATCGTCGGGGTTCTCGTGCACGAGGCCGTGGTAGACGCTGTGTGACGGCAGCGATCGCGTACGTACACGTTAGCAAGTCTGCATCGCTGCATCGGCGCCAGCGATCGGCCCCTCCGCCGTAAGCGAGCGAGCGCACCTTCCTACGAGCCCCGGCGTATCGTGCAGGATGTCGACCACGCCCTTGAATGTCCCCGCGGGATCCTTCTTGTATGCGTCCGACGCGGTGAAGAAGACGGCTTCGATGACTCCGACGGTCGACATGGTTGGCGTTGCTGAGCTGGGTAGACTGGGATTTGGAGAGGTGGTGGTCTCAGGATGGCGGTCTCGCGCGGGTACTTATACTGCTATCTGAGCCTTTGGGGGGAGATAGCTGATGGCGAAGCACTCTTAAGACCGAAATAATCAGTCAGCCGTGCGAGATGATGAGAGCCTGGGAGCAGAAGCAGTCATGCTGCTGAGTACTAGGACGCCCGCAGTGCACGTCTGCGACCAATCGTCGTCCGCACCCGTACGCTCGCACGCTACAGAACACAAGCCCAACCTCGTTTCGGCACTGGGCATCCTCTCGACGGGTGTCATCTGACGCGCAGTGATAGTAATGATATGGATGTAATGGAAGATGATCATAAGAAGGATAGGTTGGAGTGGAAGTAAGATCGCTTCCTTCTGACTACGCGCGTTCACATATGGCCCAAGAGCCCGCATTACTGCTTCAGCCTTAGCTCGACCAGCCCCGTCTCCACGCAGTCCCAGAATTTGACAAACTCTAAACCCGCCTCGTTCCTGCACAAATATCCAGGTGAGCCCTTCAGTAGCCGATCAAGGCAAACATGATGTACGCACGCAAGCCGCACCACGTCCTCCACGGATCGTTCCCTCGCATTCAGTACCATCATCATGTTGATGTCTGCCAGGAACGGCCGGATGCCACCCGCACCGTAGTTCGGGAGCAGCGGGCGCGGGGCATCGTGTGTGCCGAGGTGGCTGTCTTCGCGCGCGGCGTCGGTCCCCTTGGGCACCTTGAGCACGTAGTCGTCTGTAGATGTTTCGGGTAAGAAACATCAAAGAATGAGCCGTTGCAGGTAAAGCACTCACGGACGAGCAGACGG